TGAGGCACCGCACATTTTCACGTCAAGTTTGGATTTTATAAATCACAACCTTGGCGTAAAAAGTGGCGTACTCAAGTTTCTGGGCTCATATTGTGCGTTCGCAAGCTTTATAAATCCGACCCCAGAGCCTGTTGTAGGTACCTCAACAACAGTCTGTAGGACTGCCCTACAGGCCTGGATTAGACATCAACACTCAATCCGCTGGAGGGAGCTGACAGACTGTAGACAGGCACGGGAACTGATTAACGGCCCAAATCTAAGGTTTGGGAAAGCTCTCATCTCCCTGTCAAGGAAAACTCTAAGTACACTGGTTGGAGTCCTAACTGGGCACAATCTGCTCAACCGCCACAAAATGGTGATGGGATTCCATGACAATGGTCTGTATGATGCCTGTGGCATTGAATTAGAGACCCCTTTGCACTACTTAGGCCACKGCTTGGCTCTGAGTGGGCAAAGGAAAATAATTCTTGGGGACCCCTTTATAGATCCTGAGAAGCTCAGAACACTGAGTGTTTCTAACCTGGTGTCCTTCATCCGAGGGACGAGAAGGTTTGAATGAAGACCAGTGTCTTTTTGGGGAGAGCAATGGGCCCGCTTAGGAGGCCTCTGCTCATATGGATTTTATATCCATCCCCACTCACCATAACCCTAACCATAGTTGGCTGGATTGACTTGTCCGCAGCCACTTCACAGTTTAACCCTTGGTTATGATCCACACAAAGATGAGATATTTTTGTTTCGACGTTAGGACAAGAAAGGGTTAATTATTTTAAAAACGCCTTGGCATGCATGTAAAACACCATTTAAACTTTTAATTTTATGTGAATGATCATATTTTAACCCTCACATTTCCTCGCGCAAAGGACATGAATTTTGTGAATTTCCAAYTGTCCCTGCTCACTGGAGCGTGAAGCGTTAACTAAGATTTTGGTGTCATTTGAAGAAGAATGATCCCCTCTACCAAAGGTTACACCCACATTTTCAAAATTGTTATCCTTGTTAATTTTATGGCAATTTTTCTGAAAATATCTTTTTTTCTGATACACCCTGTATTTGTTCTCAGAAAACATGTAAAAAAATTCTATATATTGTTAAATGATAAAATGAAAAATACTCACAACTCCCGGAGGACCGGGGTATCCTCGATCACCTTTTAGTCCCTGTGAGGAAGCAAAGAGGTGCAGTGAGATTTAAGCACTCTTTAACTTGTGGTGTAGAGTTAAGCAAGTAAAATATTTGGAAGAAACTTACTCTTTCTCCATCCCTGCCCGGAGGACCCGGCAGGCCTGGTTCTCCTTTGAGTCCCTGTTAGTCACAAACAGTTATAGATGTAAATGAGACAGTTTAATAAGGACTCGCTGTCAGAAGATTTGGCATTGTTTGTTGGTGGGACTCACAGGGCTTCCTGGCAGGCCCGGGTCTCCGTCTTTGCCTGACTTTCCCTGTGAGAAGAAAGTCAGACCTTTTCAAATTCTATCCATTTTTACTTTTGCTGAGTCAGGATCTGGCTGTCCCCAATGACACGTCCAAAAACAGAAGTTTGAAAAACCTCAGTGGACTAGTTTCAACGTGGAGAAGCCGAAACTTTACTCATAGTGTTCCATGGATCTCCAAGACCCTTTAGCCTAACACCCACCCCAACAAAGAAATTAGAAATTAAGTAAAATTAAATGAAAGGCCGCAGCTGAACTTCTTGTGGTTCTTGAAGATGCTTTCGTTGCCCGTCTGAGGAGCTTTCTCAGCTCTAAACTAAAAGGACCAGAGTCCAGTTGATTTGTCCTGGATGATTTTGAATCATCACCAACATCCATAAATCATCACCTGTTATAATGTTCAACGTAATCAACAAGTTCAGATACTTACTCGTTTGCCTACTTCTCCCTGCTCTCCTTTCTCTCCTTTCTGTCCACCTGAAGAACCCTACAGCACACAGAAACTCATTTGGTTGATTGTTTGAAATTTTTCTTTTTTTTTTGTTAAACAAATATTGCATGGTGTCTTTATGTCATACTTACAGGTGGACCTGGAAAACCTGGATCACCAGGGGGGCCAGGAGGTCCTTGGTCACCCTTTATAGAACAAAGAAAATATGTGCCATGTTAAAACAGACAGTTGAAGCTTCGAGCACGTTTTTAATAAAATAAATTATCAAAATCTGACAGTAAAGACTCAAGTAAATATTCTACAGACTTTTCACAAATCATTACAATATTTACCTAAAACAGAAAACTCTGATTTATTTGGTGACATGTTGTAAACTACTGTTGTATTAAAGTGCCTGTGGGATCATCTTTTGACTGTTGTCGGCAGGACTTGTGTCATTGACTCTACCTTTTCCCCTCGTTGAATCTCTGACTCTGGTGGTCTCTTCTGTTCTCCTGTTCCTACTTGTCCTGGAGGACCAGGGGGTCCTGGCAAACCTGGTTCACCCTGTAAAATGAAGAGTAAAACAGGCAGGTGAGTATTTTATGTGGTTATGAGTAAAAAAAAACTTTTCTGTTTGTCTTGTACCTTTTCTCCTTTGCGTCCTTCGAAGTTCAAACCCATGTTTCCCTGTCGAGATAAATTGGAGAAACATTACACCACCAACTCTTAGCTGATGATATTTTAAAAAACTGATTGATTTTACCTTCGGTCCAGGGGGGCCGGGAGGACCTTGAAGACCCTGAAAAATAACAAGTTTATTTTGACTTCCACCCAACATGATTAACAGGTATTAATGTGCTGTAGTGACCCTTATTTTTTTTTACCTCATATCCTCTGGGTCCTGGAGGGCCAATTGGACCTTGTAAACCCGGGGGTCCAGAACGACCCTATTAAAAAAGGACAAAAACAAAAGAATTTATTTATTTATAATTATTTATTAAATAATTATATGCTATGTTGTTCACATGGTTTAGTTTCATTCTCTTAGCTCTGTGTATCTTTATAAACAATAAAATCAGTAAACATAATAAAAGCAGGATCCACCCCGTCCTTTCTGGATGTTGCCAAAGAGGTGCCCCAAGGTTCAGTCTTAGGACCAGTTTTATTTTTGATTTAATTTAATTATCTGTTTATTTTGTCAAATGCTTATTATTTTTATGCAGAAGAGACCATTGTTTATTGCTGTCTGTCTTCCCTCATTCAGGCTTTTAAGATTTTATAGGATGCTTTTCAGTGGTGGGCATGGTTCTGCTAATAAGCTAACAGCTAATAGAAGAACAGATGTTTTGTTTGGCGGATTAGCTTTTTCACTAGCTTAAAGTGTTAGTGGACTAATTAGCTTCCTCTAAATTAGGTTTTGTCCGTTTTAAGTCCACTAACTAACAAGTTACATCAACAGATTATTAAGCTTGAAGATGAAGGCGTGTGACACAAACTGAATGACAGTCATCTTAGCAATTAGCAAATTGGAAATTAGCGATTAGCAGTTAGTGTTAGCTTCTGCTAATTTTTACTTGTTTAGCTGTTTATCATTAGCTTCTGCTAAGTTTTCTTTGCATGTCTAGCATCAGTGAAGCTATTTATTTATTTACGGGATTATGAGTTATTGAAGCTAACTCATAATGTTTTTAATCATTGTTTTATGATGTGATCTCTTGGCCACATCACCCTTTAACATAGATCATGGTTTCAAAAGGGTTTTATTTTGGTTATGATAATGAATGATTAAATTAATAAATATTGATAAACACGGTTGAAACAATTTACAGTTTTTATATGTGTATAATGTGGCCCCTACTTTTTAAATTAAAAAACATAAAATTAATTCAAATCGAATCAAAATTCATAAACTTAAAATGCAAATAAATGATCCTTTTATATACGGTTTAATTTAGATTTTTTAAATTTATTCTTTGGCATCTTCACTAAGTAATTAAACAAGATCATGTAAGTTTTAATAGGAACAGTGAATCTTTCACTTACCGGGGCTCCTGGTAATCCAGGTAAACCCACTGCTCCTTTTTCTCCAAACCGATTGGTGGAAATCACATCACCTGGGTCGCCCTGAGGAGGAGAAAACCAATCAAAACCAAACAGTATAACACTATAATGACACTGAGGATACAATGAGCTGAAAACCTCAATATTCAGTTAATAAAAAGTGTCAGGTTGGAGGAACTGTGATGCCAGTCTAAGAAATCTTTGTTTGTTGTAGAAGTAAAGTAAATATAGAGTAAAAAGTATATTTTTGTCATTTGATTTTTTTTGTGCTGCTGTACAAGACTGACTGCAAAAAAGGTTTCACCTTATTGAATAAGATAAAATAGCTATGTTTACAAGGACATAAGTAATCGGAATAAACGGCCAACTGGAATAAAAATGCATCATGTAAACACCCCAATTGAACTACTCTTACCTGATTCAGCTCGATCAAAATGAATTTGTAATTTGAATGAGAGGGGTGGTTTATGCATGTAAACACTTATTCTGATCACATTATTCTGGTCGTGGAAAATTGACCCGACTGTGCACCTGGTGTCAACCTGACGGTTTTTCACCCGGCTAGGTGCTAAAATGTCGGGGAGGAAAATTGGTCAGTTAGCAATGCAACATCTCTAGTATGAACTTTGAAAGAGCTCAAACTTATTAAACACCTTGATGGTTGAAAGTGTAGGAACACAGAGTGCAGTAACCTCTCTATCTTTATGAAAACTTGGAGTTGGTTCATTTTGGGCGCTCAGAAGACAGAGCGTTTGTTTATGTTGATCACTGAAGTAGAACTTCTTCCTTTTTTTTTACGGAAAGTTTAAAACTCAGTACATTTTTTGGGCCCATAGGCTCATATTATTTAATCCGAATACATTTCAATCCAATCAAAAAATATTGCGGATGTAAACATAGCTACAGTCCGAAAATAAAAATGAACAAAATAAAACATAAAGTGGGGTGCGAAAGTCTGGGCACCCTTGTTAATTTTCCTGATTTACTTTTGTAAATCATTGATAGTTTAGATTTAAAATAATCAGTTTAATATGTCATATAGGGGACAAACACAGTGATATTTGAGAAGTGAAATGAAGCTGATAGGATTTACAGAAAGTGTGCAATAATTGGTTAAACAAAATTAGGCAGGTGCATAAATTTGGGCACCGTTGTCATTTTATTGATTTCAAAACCTTTAGAACTAATTATTGGAACTCAAATTTGGTTTGTTCAGTGACCCTCGACCTCCATACACAGGTGACTCCAATTATGAGAAAGGGTATTCAAGGGGGGCAATATTAAGTTTTTCCTCCTCTTTGCATCTTCTCTGAAGAGTTGCAGCATGGGAGYCTVAAAACAACTTTCAAATGAGCTGAAAACAAAGATTGTTCACCGTCATGGTTTAGGGGAAGGATACAGAAAGCTATCTCAGARATTTCAGCTTTCAGTCTCCACTGTGAGAAACATTGTGAGAAAATGGAGGACCACAGGCACAGTTCAAGTCAAGGCTCAAAGTGGCAGACCAAGAAAAATCTGGAATAAACAGAAGTGAAGGATGTGGAGAACAGTCAGAGTCAGCCCACAGACCAGCACCAAAGACCTACAACATCATCTTGCTGCTGATGGAGTCACTGTGCATCGTTCAACTATTCAGCACACTTTACACAAGGAGATGCTGTATGGGAGAGTGATGCAGAGGAAGCCTTTTCTCCGCCCACATCACAAACAGAACTGCTTGAGGTTTGCTAAAGCACATTTGGACAAGCCAGCTTCATTTTGGAATCAGGTGCTGTGGACTGATGAAACTAAAATAGAGCTATTTGGGCAGAACAAGGGTCGTTCTGCATGGAGGAAAAAGAACACAGCACTCCAAGAAAAACACCTGCTACCTACAGTAACATTTGGTGGTGGTTCCATCATGCTGTGGGGCTGTGTGGCCTGTACAGGGACTGGGAATGCTGTTAAAGTTGAGGGACGCATGGATTCCARTCAATATCAGCAGATTCTGGAGACCAATGTCCAGGAATCAGTGACAAAGCTGAAGCTGCTGAAGCCGGGGCTGGATCTTCCAACAAGACAACCACCCTAAACAGTGCTCAACATCTACTAAGGCATTCATGCAGAGGAACAAGTACAACGGTCTGGAATGGCCATCTCAGTCCCCAGATCTGAATATTATTGAAAATCTGTGGTGTCACTTAAAGAGAGCTGTCCATGCTCAGAATCAATCAAACCTGAATGAACTAGAGATGTTTTGTAAAGAAGAAYGGTCTAAAATACCTTCAGCCACAATCCAGACTCTCATTAGAAGCTATAGGAAGTGTTTAGAGGCTGTTATTTCTGTGAAAGCAGGAGCTACTAAATATTGAGGTAAGGTTTTTTTGGGTGCCCAAATTTATGCACCTGCCTAATTTTGTTTAAACAATTATTGCACACTTTCTTTAAATCATATAAACTTCATTTCACTTCTCAAATATCACTGTGTTTGTCCCCTATATGATATATTTAACTGATTTTTTTTATCCAAACAATCAATGATTAACAAGGCTGCCCAAACTTTCGCACCCCACTGTATCTTGGGAACTGTTAATGGTTCTGCTGAATTGGAGGTGTTTTTAATCTATTCTGTTACTGTCTCCAGTCAGGATGGACATAAAGTCACTAAATGCTGTGTAAATGATAAAATTATAATCTAAACATTTATGAAGACAAGTCATTTTAATTTTTGTTGTTAAAAAGTTTCCTGTTTTCTCCTGACTGTCTGAAAACAGATGCAAAGAGGACACCTGCTGTTCACAAGAGGGTATTACAACTCAAGAATATTTAGATTTTTTTTTTATGAAAAAAGAACCAATAAAAAACTTTGAACTGGTATGAAGTGTTAAGTCAATTTTTACAAAGAATTATCCACATGTTTGTTCTCATCAACTCAGTAGCTACAATAATACAGAAAATTCCTAATTTGGAGAGAAAAGCTGATTATTTTCTGAGGTTAAATTAAATGTGCTAGTTTGTACCTGCTTTGTTTTGCTCTTACCTTTTCTCCTGGAAGACCAGGTGGACCCTATAAAGAAGAAAAAAGACAAATTTCTTGAAGGAAAATTGAAGAAGACAGTAAAGTTTGGTTTTAGTGATGGGTTTCACAGCTCTTTTCTGGGTCCCAGATCATTTGGCTCAGCTCGTTTAAAAAAAAAAAAACTTTTTTCTCAAATGGCTCAGGTAATTACTGGTACAATTAGTGGAGCTGCACAAAATCTACAGAAACATCAGATTCTTCACTCTTGTCTGTGTTGTTAGCCGTCGTAGCAAGGCTCTGTTTACATCCAGGTATTCCCCTTTGACATCACTTCCTGTTCTGCTCGTGCAAATATCTCAACATCTGTTCATCTCTGTGGTGTGAATTTTTGTTTGCAATTCATTGTTAATGTTATCTTTCCAAAAACGCACTCAATTTTGTCACTAAAATTTGACGTCACAGGCTCTTTAAAGGATCTTAGTGGGAGTCTTATGCAATAAAAATGGATTCATAAAGCTTGTGTCTAACTGTGCTGCCACTGTTGGCAACAAATCACGACAATCATTTGTGAGGGTGTTTCCAAAATGTAATAAATTTTCTCACATGGATTGCAGGGCCTCGACTTTATCAGGATTTTTTAAAGCAGTCACAATCCAGTAAAAGTATGGATATTTAGCAATTATTTTATTTCCTACAGCAGGTTAAACTGTGAAGCTGGCTCACCAGTAAACCTGGCTGTCCGGGGATTCCTGGACTTCCTGGAAAACCCTGTTCACCCTGAGGAAAAAGAAGAAACAAACYGAGATTTGTTTCACTGTGAGAATATAACAACCAACCGTACCAAACTTTGTTTAACACTTCTAAGAATGTCAGTAATTTATCAGTGTGTTACGTTTTTTTTAAAAAGATTTTTGAGTTTTAAATTTTTCGGAAGAGTTACTTTTGTCCCGTTGCAACCTGGCACTCCTCTTGGGCCTGGAGGACCATCTTGTCCTGGTAGACCCTGGCAGGAAGCAAATAGAAAGGTAAATTATACACGCTGGCTAATTTCTTCAAAAAGTCACTGAACAAATAACTAAGATTATTAAAAATAAAAATAAAAAAACTCACAGGTTGCCCTGGCATTCCAGGAAATCCTGGTAATCCAGGAGGTCCCTATTAAAAGAAAAATATTAAAAATAAATGATTTAAAGTTTCATTTTTAGAAACACAATGAGCCACCTCAATTTCCTGTTTCCTCATGACTATTTGAGATAAGGTGAAATGAGGACACCTGCTGTCCACCGGAGGGTACTACAACAACATCATTCAGCAATCATATTTAGATCTGATGAACCGATAAAGATACAAAAAACTAAACATTTTTTCAAGACACCATCATACAGCAAATCTATTATGCTTACTCTTATTCCCTTCGGACCAGTTAGTCCTTGAGGTCCATCACTTCCCTAAATGGCACATGAACACAAAAAGACAAGTCATTAGTAACATATTCGGATTAACACTTTTTGACTATTTTTTCATGTATAAAAAGCAACAAGAGAGAAGAAAAACCACATAATACAAATAAATATCAGTTAGAATACTGATTACACATTTCCTGGATGACACAAACACTTAGAGTCTCCTCAAGGCTTGTCATAAAACCACAACAAATCAACTGCATGAAAAGCCTTTGAGACATGTCTATCAACCTCAAGGCCCCTCATTAACTTTGTATCTGGCCCCAAAAGTAATACTTTAAATGTGTTTTTTTTTTTGTCTATATTTAGTGCATTCTTCTCCCGACAGCAGGACAACTGTCAAGCCATCAAAATTACATTAAAAAATGCCAGTAAGTTTGGATTGTGTAGTGGTAAGACCTACAAAGAATCAACTTTAATGACATTTTTCTGTGTTCTCTTCTTATTTTAAAGTGAAATAATTGGGTTTTTAGCGAGGATTTTCTTTTTTTAACACATTTACTGGATTGTAATACAATGTATCTCTAAGATAAATGAAAAATGAAAATGAAAAAGTTGTTGACAGAGTAAGTCATAAGATCATACATATTTCTAAATGCATTGTGTTTTTCTTTATCTGCTAGATTATGTATGCAATATAAAATATCACTTGGAAAAGGTCATTTGTCTTTCTATAGGAATATTTATCATGTAATGTGTTTTTAATAAAGTTTGACAGAATCTGGCCCTTGRCTTAAGGCAAGTTTTTGAAATTTGTGTGTAACTCAGTTTGACACCCCTGTTTTACTGTTTTTAAATATACTTGTACTAATGACTTAATCGCATCCTTGCGATACAGTTATAGCCGATTAATGTTCCTGTTTTACCTAATGACATCCTTGTTTACCTAACATTATCAGCTCCCTTAATCGTCAGACGAACTTTTTCCACAGTGAATAATAATCATTAAAATTAAAGCAAGGCTCTAAAGCAACAACGCTGAAACCTGAGATACAAACTTTCCCATTATTTGCCTGCCGGGCAGGATAAAAGATCAATAAACACATAAATGAATGAAATAATGAATTTTATTTATGAGGACAATGTGCAATTAAAAGAAGAACATAAAAACATTTGATGCATTGCACCAGATTTAGCCTAAGGCTAGTTTACATCTGCAGTCCTCCTAATAATAAAAACAAAACAGCATCCAACAATAATAAAGACAAGAAAAAGAAAAAAAACAGAAACATAAAAACAATACAAAATAAAACATTTTGCAATCAACAATAAAAATACATAAACACCCCACCCCACTCTCCAAACACAATTAAAAAGTTATATCACTAAAGTTATTTCACATCAATAATATCCCCATGCATCTTTGCTTTTGGTAAACTGCTGTTTTTGTATCTTTTTATAGCAGCKATCTGAGCTACAAAGCCAGGGCTCTCAAGTTTTTTTCTGAGCTTGAAGTGAAATTTCGGGTTGCTGAACACTGTTGCCAACTCCTCAGCTAGAAAAGTCGCTATCAGCCGCTGCTAAAAGCTACTAAATWACACTATCATCCAATTTGCATATTTATATTTTTGCCAACAAGTGTGATCAGGGCTGTATGGTATACTGTATAGGAGAGAACAGTGTGTAAAATYACTGGTGGGGGGTCTGGGGGTGCTCCTCCATAAAATTTTTAATGAATTAAATGCCATTTCCAGCATTTTGAAGTATTTTATCAGGTTGTTAATCATATTTTTATATAAGTAAACACTTGGTGAGTACCCATCATAAAATCCATGTGGTTTTAAAAATAATTTACTGTCATTTTAATCCCTGAATTCCATGGGAATAGTGTTTTTGTTTACTTTAGTATGTTTGTTTTACTAGTGCATTATTCTACATATGCATTTTTTAAAAAACAAAACCAAATTAATAATTTATTATAACTTTTTGAGGACCCCTAAGATACAGCTCGTGGATCCCTGTTTGAGAACTTCTATGTTAGGAAATAGAAACAGTCAAAATATACATTTTAAAAATATTTACCAAAAACAAGCTTTCTCAGTTTTAAAGCCACCATTTCTATGTATTTTAAAACAGTTTTTTTATTTTTATCTTTTTGCTTGTTAGTGTTAACTTTTGTGAACAAAACTTTAATTATGAATAACCAAAACTGGAAATAAAGACTAAAAAAAACCCACAATTGCAAACCACTACTGGAGCATTATCCCAGACGATTCAGTATTTTTATTTATGACATATTAGTTTTAGCAAATACAATTTTGGTCTGTGAGAGGAACAACATTCCAGTGAAAATTAAATCCTGTTCTGKAAAGCAGGGCAGGAGAAGAGTCATTTGCAGCTGAGTTGTCCCGTGAAGCTTCAGAAGTAGACTGGTAGTAGCTGAGAATATTTATTTATTTTATAAACAAATGTAGAGGTCACCTCGAGTGAAGAAACAAGATTTACTGCCTCGAAGCAGGCCTTGGACAGGCCTGACGAGAGGACAGGAACGCTGTCACAAACTGAACTCTATTTAGGCCATGACAGGTCATTCTGACCGTGGACGAGAACCTCTCAGTT